TGCAACACCTCAACCGTCCTTGACATATTAATTGCATTTTTCCCACCCGCTTCATGACAGCAATAATGGCTTGCTGATAGGCCTTTAAGTGGGGCATGTCAGCACCATTCATGTTCCAATTCGGATCCATATTTGGAAAGTGAGCTGCGGCCCATGCAGCCGGATTAGCTTGATTTTGAGTATGGGCTGTTTCCTCAAGAGCCTTAATGGCCGCTTGATTAATCCGGGTCCTTTCCTTCCAATTAAACAAAGTTAATAATAGCTGCTGACAGTCAGCCCAGGTGGGATTATGAGTCTGAATAATGGAGGTGACCAAGTCCATCAGGGCTTGAGGTTTATCTGTATATGAGGAATTATGGGTCCTCCAGTTGAGGGACGTAAACAAATACAGGGTCTGCTTGCTGTAGTTGACCGTTCCCGTCAACATTTGGTGGGCCCGGTGTAAGCCGGAGAGGAATTTGTAAATGTCGGGATTGAAGGGTACCAGTCATTTGTCGAGTTAGTATGGGACTTCGATAGGGTTGTTTAGTAACATGTTCCGGTCGGGGCGTTATTAAGTGAGTGGAAGAGGGTGAATTAAGGGTATTGGTCGATAACTCTGTTAACAGAATATTCTGGGCAGGGCTAGGAGGAGCCTGACCAGTAACAAGAAGTGATGTCAATTCCGGATACAAGGAACTAGTGGAGGTAGATACCGGAAGGCAAGGGCTTAGGGTAAGTGGGCCGGCCTCTGAGTTAGGTGAGTGGATGGGGAAGGACAATGGAGCAGGGGGAGTGGCTACACCTGCTGCATCTCCTCTAACTCTGAAGGAAGGAGTTCGGATTCAGGAGGTGTGTCCAAGATGGGCGGGGCTGCGGCCCTCATGGACAGGCGAGTCCTAGCCACCATGAGGCGACATTGTTCCTCATGGCACAATGTAATCCACTCAGGCAGTTTTTTAACGATCTGCTTCCAACAATCAATATAGGGAAACTGGTCATAGAATTCCGGCCTACTAGTTACAGTCATGTGTACACGCTGCACTAAATTTAAGTCAAGACTACCACGTGGAGGCCATGCGGCCACCATGATAGGCCACTACCTACTACACAGTGTAGTCAATCGCTTTGAGGATAGCTTTGCACCATAATCGCAAAAACAGCGTATCCCTTGGAGACGTTCTTCAACATACAAGACAATGGTTCAACGACCTTTGAATCAGACGCACCCATACTGTAAATGGAGTATCTGATTCAAAACCACAACAAATATTCAAACACACTTCTAACGGTCACACCAGTTACCTTAGCAACAGCACCACACGGCACGGTTACTAGGCCCAAACATACAAGTACACACACGCACAGGATCCTCACACGCTCAACAATATCACGACGTCGCACACACAGAATAAAATCAAAAAAACCAACAAGAACTATACACTTATCAATGTAACTTTTAAGCCAACCATACAATTATCTACACTATTACTCAACTTAGACTAACCAATGACATAACATTTCATCAATTTCGTCTCTACAGTCAGTGGTTATGGTACGGTTAGTCATTATTGTACAGTTAGATAATTATGGTGTTAGAGTTACAATATCAATTAGTAATAGTTAAAGGACCACTATAGGCACCCAGACCACTTCAGCTTAATGAAGTGGTCTGGGTGCCAGGTCCACCTAGGAGTAATCCTTTCTGCTGTAACCCTTTCTGCTGTTACTTTAGGGTTAATCCAGCCTCTAGTGGCTGTCTCATTGACAGCCGCTAGAGGCGCTTCCGCGATTCTCACTGTGATTTTCACAGTGAGAAGACGCCAACGTCCATAGGAAAGCATTGACAATGCTTTCTTATGAGACTGGCTGAATGCACGGCGGGCCGCGCATGCGCATTTAGCTGATGACGGGGAAAGGAGGAGGAGAGTCTCCAGCACCAAGGGAGCCCAGCGCTGGAGAAAGGTAAGTGTTTAACCCCTTCCTCTCCATCCAGCCCGGCGGGAGTGGGACCCTGAGGTGGCTGAATGTACAACAAAGCACACTTAGTCTGGTGTGAGAGCTAGCAGATGGAATATACAACAGAATCTCGCTTAGTCTCGCCGGTATCCCCTGATCTAGTGACCGAATTTACAACAGGATTACACTTAGTCAAGCCAGGATACTGTGTCCAGCTGAACATATATGCAACAGAATTCAGCCTGACTACAGTCCCTATGTTAAACGGGCTTGCTACAGAGTGTTTAACTTCAGATATACGGTGCGCCTTTGTATCTTCCCTTCGTACGAAGGGGGCAGTCAGATTACCGGATACAGATTTAACCCTAGTGGGTCCTCAGTCTTACCTTTAAGTTCCTGGACCTGGGTTCACACTCATCGACGGGACACCCCGGTACTCACTGCGTAGAAGCCAATGATCTCCTGGACAACAGGCCAGTGGCGCCAAGACGAAAGGAGATCCACGCAGAAGTCCGGGGATACTGCCGTTGAAGATTTGGTAAAAGGTTACCGTCTCAAATCTCTATGCCAGCTTGCAAATGGGACTTTTCGACGTCTGTTTCATATGACCCTCAGTGGGCAACATACTATGTTCCTATTTCATTGCTTCATTGGGCTTTACTCCAATCAACCTAACCTAAATGGACCTCTCTGAGCCTAAGGAATCTAAGAAACTTTAACCTTAATCCCTCTTCCGATAAGTTTTATCCTTATTACACATTTTAAGCCACTTCGGTCTAGCATGGTATTGATAATGTTACATATGTCAAGTCACCTATATCTAGACACTTAATAATTTATCATGTTGGTTATTTGCCTCATTTTGCTTTAACCCCTTAAGGGCCAAACTTCTGGAATAAAAGGGAATCATGACATGTCATACATGTCAAGGGGTTAATCACAGCCTCAGACCGGCCTCCACTACATACAACATTGCCACCCTGGTATTCATGACAATTCTCCATACCACTACACATGGACTGGTTCAAACATCATGCTTGTCTCTTATAACCTTGATATGTTTATTCCACATTTGTTCGTTCGATATATCCGTACCCCTCATACAGCCCTATTTTTTCCATCCTGCATCTCAGGACTTATATTGGGCACTCTCTGCCTTTCGTTACGATACTCTACACATGGCCCTCATTAGGCCTTCACTCCAAACGGTTACAAACAGCCCTCTTCGGGCAAACCACTACGATCCAATTTCGGACCCCCATTTGGGCATTTACATACAACATTTTCCTGCTTACAAGGAAAACTACAACCCTTTCAGATCACATTTTACTATTCCACCTTGCCTCGCTAGGCCCACATAAGTCTTCCCTATATGGTTCCTCTCTCGGCACACTCCCAAGAACCCAGAACCCTTACCCTCATTACACAATTATACATATTCAGGCCTATTCGATCTGTCTTTTTTACTTAAATTAGTATAACTCACACCTTCATCTTAGGTGAATACTAGATCTCATAATTTGCTTCACGCTACTAAGCTAGAGATGTTACATTCAAGTTTTGGCTTTTAATTACTTAGGCTATTTTTTCTCACTACCTACTGCTAAGGTCGTCCGGGCCCCACATTCAGTGGGTACATATCGGGTCGCAGGGGGCCCTGCGACCCCGGTATGTACCCACTGGGCCAGCCTCTTCTCCTGGGGGGCCCAGCAGCCGGTCACC